GATTTATACGGCCCAGTCGTTCCTGCTAAAAGGTTCTGTAGCCACAGAGTCCTTATGTGTCAGTGTCAACAGTGTGAGCACCAGGGATGGTTCTGGTTCCGGGACTCGCTCTGGGTGGAGTTCCTCTTTACCAGGTGGCATTTACATAACCACTAAACCAGCACCAAGACTTCAGAATTTAGTGTGGAGACAACGCCTGGCTCCACAGCTGAAGAGTCAGTCAAAAAGGAGGAGTCTACCTGGGCTTGTTCATAGTGCGTCATGTCATCCGTTCATTTAGATACTTAGAAAAGTCACCCAGATGTTCCTCTTTTGAAGTTTTTTTTAAAAAGCAATGGTGGATTTAAAAACAAAACCAAACAAAAAAAGGCAAAAATCTTAACAATAATGGCAATGTTGTAGTTTGTAATCCCAAAAGAGGCTTTTTACACACGTTGTTTTCAGTCTTCTCATGTTGTCCCATTCTGAGACACTTGAGTTCGAGCTCAATCAGGAGGCAACAGGTCATGAAGCCGGAACCGCTCCCAGACGTGCGGCCGCACATCCTCATTCTGATGGGTTGAGCAGGCAGGTGAGTCGTGACAGGAGATTAAAGAGCAAAATTAGATTCACTTTAATGAAATGCTAAAATATTACTGCAGTAGCGAATCTTACCATCTCGACCAGCTTCTCCAGAAAGGGCACCAGCTTCAGCAGCTCACTGTCATTCTTGTCCATGAACCAACTCTCTATGGGAATCCCGTTGGACAGCTGTTGGGACAAGACAAAACAAAAAGCATGCCAAGTACGATCTTCAGTAACAGCTTTGTATTTTTAACTGATCTCAAATGTAAAACCAAAATTCCAAATTGGAAAAAAGAAAAAAAAAACTTGCAAATTACTGACAGCCATGATCAATATCAATATCTAGATGGGTCACACTAAGAGGAAATGAGTTTGTAGGAGGGAAGCACACTAAATCAACAGTATAAGTTGGAAGCCATGGCGGTGATGCTTAAGTCATGGGAGAGTGGTGTAGTTCGTTTATAGCTTAATAATTGCTTTTTACTTCTGATCGTATTTGAGCTTTTGCCTGTTTGCACATTACTTCTTTACTTTCTGTTCTCAGCCTTATATCGTTTACTTGCCCATTGCTGCCTTACATAAGTACAAGCACATACACATTGAGACACTGTACCAGTGAAATTCCTCATGTGTCCAACACACCTGGCCAATAAAGCTGATTGAGCTTCAAAAATTATAAAAGTGGTGTTCACTTGTGAAGATTACCTTGCCAAACAAAACATGAACGTGTCAAACTGTCATAAATTTTATTTTCCGCAACAATCCAAAAGCTTATGGAAAAATCCTATAGGCTTTTTGTCAAGGGAACCAGGATGATGAAGCTGTAAGCCAACAAAAACATGTGATTCCTGCAGCACTCTATATTTAGCCTTGGTGTTCACCTGATATGCAAAGGCCTGTGGTGAATTGTCGATGATAATCGTCTTTGACAGATCTCTGCCTAAGATGTTGAGGTCCTTGATGTAGTTTCCCTGGACACAGACACAATGCTCACGGAACAACCTGTGTCTATGGTTTCAAAAGGGAATGATAGGACAGAAGGAAGAGGACAAAGTCAATCAATCAGGGACAAGGTCTGAGCAATGAATAATTCAGAACAACCACAACATTGACACCTCAACTGCAGCGTGTGCCAATGCTGGAGCTTTACATGATGTTTTTTTTTAGCTCCACCTCTTTTCATTCAGGCTTACATTTGAATTAGTTGTGCAATTATAAACAGCCACCACAAAACATGCCATACATCACTAGCTGCTTTTTAGGGTCCAAGATGTTGAGCAGTTTGTCTGCATACAACTTTTTAGAAGCTGTAAAAAGGATGATCTAGAAAAGGGAGAAAACCTTGTCAATTTTGTTTTCAGATTTGATGATATTAGCAATACTTAGAGGAGCAGTCAGGTTATAGTTACCTCATAGATTTGAGACATGCGTTCTAGAAACTCTCTAAAGAACGGCCTCAGACGCACATACACCTGCACAACAAACCACCGGTAAGTGAACATTCATGATTAACAAGACATTATTATGTGCAGATCATTACTGTGACAGACTAGAAATAAATCAAGAGCTATAACATACAGCTTATGAAAATTGCATTTGTTTCAGTGTGTCTGTTAAATCGGACAGCTTTAACTGTATGTCAAGTTTAGCCGTTCATGAAAGTGCACGTTCTTCAGTGGGGGGTTTATGCAAGGGAGAGCAGACGTTTACTGCTCCTCTTGTCTGTTCTACAATTTTTCACATCTTCTACATTTTCAAGTCTTTGAACAAATTCTACAATTATTAAAATGCCTCCAAGACGGAAAAGAGCTAATAAATCAGAAGCGAACGAGGATGTTGAGACAAAAAAGGATTATATTTCAGCGGCGCAAGTAACAGAGATGTTGAGTCAGCAGAAGCAGATGTACACCGCACTGTTGAGCCAACAACAAGACAACTTCAAAGGTTTTGTGCAACTACTTATGGAGACAAATAACAAGAGACTCGACGACATGACCAGAGAAATACAGGAGATAAAAATGAGTTTGCAGTTTACCCAGCGAGATGTGGATGTGATTAAAGCAGCCATGGGTGAACAGAAAATACAAACCAAGGAAACAAGG